AAACTGCTCTGGTACAGAGAGCAGAAAACCTTCATGTAGGTGAACCAAAAATACCTGACTTCAAGGAAGGTTAGGATCTTGAAAGTTTCTTTGTACAATTAGACGGCAAAGCTTAAAACCACCATAGGTGAGATTGAGGACTTAGTACTGAAGCTGCAGCTGATCCCACATGATGTGGGGTGAGAGGCAGAGTGCAGCATATCTGAATACTGATGATGGCAAGCTGCATCCTGTTGTCTCCGAAATTTAGATTACTTTATAAAAATGCATTTTCATGGATATTTTCATGGGTTTGGTCTTCTTTTCATGTTTATTGATTTATTTTAGACTGTTTATCTGTCCTTGATGTCTCTGCATTTCATAGTGAACCAGTCCTATATTTCCTTCCAAGTGTTACAGTGCAGAAAAAATACCTAATACTTAAAGTGCAGTTCAATGTAAAAAAAAAAGAAGAAAAAAAACCAAAACAAAACATAACAAAACATTTCAAACGTTTAACTGTAATGTTACATCACCTCACCGCTCTTAGTATATGCTTATGTAAAACAGTTTAACAGAAGGAGATTATACCTGGTGTTTGTTTAAGGAAAACAGAAGCAGAGCTAATATTCATGAAGTCATTTAGAGTAACCTGTTAAAATACTCAAGTTTGAAGTGAGAGTGCTGAAAGTAGAGACCTGACAGTCGCACATTAAAATCTGTTTGCCTTACACATGCAGAGCATGATCTTCATCTCCCATTTCCAGCACAAAATGTATTATAAAAGCAAATTTAAGTTACAAACTCGGTCTAATTTGCATCAATGTACACATTATTTAAAATTACTCAAGTTTTTATGTATATAAAAGTGCAGTGTAAACAGGACTACTTTAATTTATCATTTTGATTTGATAGTCCAATATCTCACCTTAACATTACATTTTTTTTAAACAATATATGAATAATAATAAAATAAATGCAAGCAGCCTCACACACACACACAGCTGGAATATGCAGGCTGGCCTGCAAGTCTGAGTTGGATAAGTGTTTAAGAGGATGGATGTTATCTACTCATTTTATGTAATGTTCATGTTCTCCCTGTGCCTCACTCCCAGATTAAGATAATGGATGAAGTTATTAAGCAGCATAAATAAGGAAGACATGTTTATATGTTTTTGCTTCTTGGACTGTTAGCATTGCAGTGTTTTCTGCACCTTTTTTCCTGTTTCC